TGCGCCTGTGCTGCTCTCCAATTGGTTTATCAGTTTTAGGATTTTCATGGGTGTCGCGTCCGTAGACGGAGTGAAAAAGAGGGTTCGGAGGACCGTGAAAAAGAGAAGGAGAAAACGAGAAAAAATAACTAAAAAGAAAGAAAGAGGATCATCTCGGGGACACAACCCAAGGCAACTAGGCGTACCGCGTACCTAGGCATCCCACCACGAGAAGAAGAAAGGAAAATACTGAGACGATGATATAGACAGGAGAGCAAACAACGAATAATAATAACTAAAGGGCAAAGAGGAAAATAAACTTCCCAGGGAAAACCGTCCTGGGGAAATGAGCTTCCCAGGGAAAACCGTCCTGGGGCAAATAGGGGAATGTGCGTCCCTAGGGTCTTCTCAGGGTATGTGCTTCCTGAGGAAAATGGAAATCATACCACGGAAAAACGTCGTGGCGAAAAGATACCTACAATGAGAAGTGACGTCGAGCGTACCGCGGGAGAGACGAGATCTGCTGCGCCGGCTGGAAGCTGAGTGTTGGCCCACTCGTCCACGGGCTGCGGTCCGGCCACCGCGAGGCATGGTTGCGCAGAAAAGCTGCGCCGATGTCGGTGCGCGCACTGCGAAAAGCTAAGGCGGCGCGGGTGACAACGCGGGGAGAGAGGAGAAGGTGGGCAGCGCGGTAGAAATAGCGGGAAGAATGAACTGAAAATATATCCACTAAAAATGACAAATAAAACTATCCTTTGGGTCTGAAAACCCAACAATGGGGCTTTCCAGGACTAATGTAAACAATCTGATCACAAGGAATTTTTACTATTAAGGCTTGAATGACAGTCACAGAAAAAGTGTAATTATTTGACAACACTGTCCATACAAATTTGTTTAAAACTTGGTAATTTATTAATAAAAAAAATCTTATCTTGTTTATAGCTGTGGGCATTGTGATTTTGTACATTGATCCAAAACTAAAAGGAAAACAATGGATTGCTGATTTGACAATTAAATTGCTTGAATCGTAAAATTTACATGGAAAAATTTTGGACACTTTTTTTAACCATAAAATTGTTGGATCAGCAATATCATTTTTTCCGTGTAGGAGCGGAGGGGCTGCCATGAATGCGAAAAACTTGCCAGCCTGTCAGAGGGTGGTCTGCTTTTTCTGTGGTAAAAGCTCACAAACTAAGCACTGGAAAAAAACACATTGGATCTAGAGTCCAGATTCTTAAAAACATCGACAAGAAAAAATACTCTTGATTCAATCGGATTTTTGCTTAAATCAAGAACCATGCCTCATAATTTGAGCGGATTTCCTTTTGATTTAAGCAAAAATCTGATTGAATCAAGAGTCATTTTTCTTGTCAATATTTTCAAGAGTCTGGACTCTAGATCCAATGTGTTTTTTTCCAGTGAGGGTCGTATACATAGATACACCTTATAACCAGCTCCTTTTTTGGGGTTTTATTTTTGTCATCTTCGCTAAATACAACTTAAGTCTTGCTGCTTTGCTCGAAACTGTGCTGTCGAGCTGTCCAGTATCGTCGTTCTCTGACGTAAGGGTGCATCTTGATTTCCACATGAGCCCCAGAAATCATAGAGCTATATGTAAAACAAGGCTCAAATAGAAATTGAGGTACATCCTTACGTTGGCGAAGCAACGATATAGACTTGTAGGATCAAGATTTTTTTCAGTCAATACCCATGAAAAGCTGTCAAAACGATATACATAGGACTGTATTCTTTTGACTTCGACGCCTGCATTAGCCGTAAGGAATACGTGCAGTTTATATTCCTAAACAGGCGTTTAAATCTCTGCGATGCTCTTTCAAACCTTATCAGTCCAGACGTGGGCTTGAAAAATTATATCTCGAGACCATCAAAAATTTTGCGAAAAATCCTAAGGTACGTTGAATTTGACACTCCATGTACATTTGGCTGCAAAATACAGAAATCATCTAAATTGTGCACTGTAGTTTTCTGGAAAGTTTTGTGTTTTCATCCAGCTACGTCTCATATTACAGGCAGTTGAATATTTCTATTGACTCCAGCACCTCTAGAAGCTCATGCTCAGCAATTCGACCCCGTGGGCTGCCGTGCTAAGGGAGAAAGTCGTATGAAAATTCGAGAGTTGCTAGATTTCCTTCGATAAAATAATTAATATTAAGGCAAGTTATGAATATTTTTCCATGAAATTTTCAGGAACTGTGAGATTGCAAACAAAATGGAAACTGGAGGAAAAATATTCATACGTATACCAGGAAATTCGTGTCTTATTTAGGGAATTTTGGCAACGCCTGAAGGTTCATAAGGCGTTTTCCTTGGCACGGTACTGGGCCTAGGAGAAACGAAAGGCGCGCCCCGGGTCCAGCGCGCGCGCGTCCGCGCGGAGTGTAGACAGCGCCTTCAACATCGTGGATATACTTCATACGCTACACCGTTTGTTACGCATACGTTCTGATGTCTGTGAATGATCACTTGGACTGCATTTTGCAATTTGGAACTATAAATTCTGGCTCATCTGAAAAAAGCACTTATGCGCATAGGGAAACTAATGGCACTCAAGTTGTTTTTAAACCGGGCCAGAATTTATAGTTCCAAATTGCAAAATGCAGTCCACTTGTCAGTCCTTCCAAAAACATTTTCATGTGAGGATGAGCTGCCAGGCTTAAAAAATAAATATTCGTCGCCCAATATATAGTGATATCCCACTAAATAGACGGCAAGTAAATTTCATTGATATTAATTTGAAGTTTCTCCTCCTTTCAACATTATGCCCGGGGAAAAGCAAAGTGGACCTCGTTAAGCAGAAAGAAACGAAGCTACATCAGCAATTGCTAAAATTAATTGGGCAATTTATTTTTTTTTTTACATGAAAACGGTTGTCCGGATTTTCGTACAAATTTCAGTGAATTTTCTGCATTGCACGAAGCAAATTCCTTAAAATTTTCAAAGGAATCCACACAAACGTTGACGTTCTCTTGCAAAAAATTAAATTTGGCAAAAGCCGATGTGGCTTGGTTCCTTCCTGTTAAACGCGGTCTAAATATAGACAAAAAATAATGGATCGCATTTGATACTGGTTCAATGTATCGTTCGTTTAAAAAAAATAGAACATAACTACAAACAAAAATTTTATGATTTACATCGGAAAAGCTGAAAATGAGAAAATTCCTACAAATTTCACTTTTCATTTCCATTTGGTAATCATGTAAGAATAAAAAAAAAAAAAAAAAAAAAAAAAAAAAAAAACTCTTCCCGTCAAATTACTGGGTTGCCTTTTGAGGCCATATTACATATTGAACCAATCTTCATCGATGCAATCTCACCTGATCTCGGTGTATCGAATACGATCCGTATAAAAAAACCCAATACAATTTCTCAATTTTTTTGAAAAATTTCGGAAGAAACACAATGGTGCCACTGCATTTCTCTAAATAAACTTCCAAGCCTTACGTAATAATTCGGGGGGGGGGGGGTCTTTAACTGAAAAAATTGATTTGCGTGACCTATAGACGGCCCCAAATCGCAAATCCCTGTGCCTTTGAAAACCTCCATTTATTAACGTTGTAGTCATTGAATGGAAGAAGAGTAAGATACATATCGATTCCTGAAGTGCGAGACGTTCCTCCATTTGCGACCAGTGGCGTGTCGTGCTTTGCGATATATCGATGGTTACACCATTCAAACCTATGAAAAAAGATCGATTATCAGGGCGTTCGCAACGAACACCTTAATAATCGATTCTTTACCATAGCTTCAAATGGCGAGATATCGATAGTCGATCGTTCACGCCTCGGCGCTGCTTGCGACATTGGTGACTTCCAGTCATACTTTATTTTTTCCTTTAAAAAAACTAGCAAACGTAATTTCTCGAAAACTTCCTGATTTTTCTTCTGTATTAGGAAAATATTCTGCATAAATTTCAAGGTATAAAATTGACTTGTTCCTCTTCGAAAAAATGCACTAGGAGCGGAGATTTTGAAACGCCGCAATTCAGATACGTGGGAACCAAGAGCATTGCAATGTTGCTAAGATTGGACAACTTCATTCTTTGCAATAAAACTTCGAACTCATGCAGGAAATGACATTTGGACTACATTTTGCAATTAGGAACTATAAATTCCGCCCCGGTTTAAAAACAACGTATGTGCCATCAGTTTCCCTATGCACATGATAAGTGTTTTTTCAGATGAGCCAGAATTTATAGCTCCGAATTGCAAAATGCAGTCCATTTACGTGGTAACAAGGTGGAGAAATGGTGCTGGGTCCATACCCATTTCGCGGGGAAACAAAGCCAAGAAATTCCAAAAATTAAAATTAGAGTCAAAATTAAATTTTTGAACTCTAATGCGCACCAATGCGAAACTGNGGGGGGGGGGGGGGAGTGTTCAGCTCAGGCAATTTGCACTGGAGTATTAAGTGGACATGGTGTGGACCCAGCACCATTTCTCCACCTTGTCCCATACAGTTCGGGCCACTTCTTAGTTTTTCATTTGTACGTGGTAACTTTTCAGATTTTTCAGATTTTTTCAGATTCAGAAAATTTTCCGATTTTAGGGTGTAAACTAGAAACTGTCTGTAGGTGAGTAAGCTTTTGACAAAATAAGTTGCACAATCGTAGCAACACTGCAATGCTCCTGGTTCCTTTCTGCAAAATGCAACCCAACGCTAGCAAAATTGGAATGCTCTTGGTTCCCTTTTGCAAAATGCAAATTCGGTTAATGAGTTATTGCATATTTGTAGCCAATTAGATTGGTGAAAAAAAAATCAGATCGAAAACTACCAGGTTGAAGGAAGGTATGGGCAAGCGTTTGGCTAACACTTCCCCTCCCCCCTCATTAGACATAGATCAAGGTGAATATCTGCAGCGTAGAGGTCCGAGCGACGCGACGCGTCGCCAGCGGGGAGGGAGTGCCCGCGGCGAGAAAGCGCAAGAGGTTCCAGCAGTCTGCAGTTTCCCCTCCTCCCGCACAAGACGCTCTGACAGGCCTTTACTTGTTTCGTTTATCAATTTGTCAGTTTTAGGCACCTGTCGCTTGGCACGCGTCGCGAACCCCGGGGACCCAAGCCATTATTCCCTCCTAGAAGTTAAAAGTTTATTAATTGTGTGTGTTCTTTACCTCCTTTCGATTTCAAATCATCTCGTAACAGTGTCACTTTCTTGTCTCACGGATACCTCGTGTTCGGGAGTGTTACAGTTTGATCTAACCGGCTGGATTATAGCAGTGTTTATGCAGTGGTGATGAATGCGGTCTTGTGATTCTGGGTGCTGAAAAGGTGGTTTCTCGAATCTCTTATCCGTCGTTTGTTTCGGAATTGGTCGTCTACAACTAAATCTCTAAATCATCTAAATCTAAATCTCGTCTCTAATAATCTGGATCATCGTGTTAATCCGGATTATTGCAGTGTTTGTGCAGTCGTGTGATGAACGCGTTTTCGTGGTTTTGAGTGGCGATTCTTATCATTCGTTCATTTGTTTTGAAATCGGTTGTCTCCTTTTGAATCTCGCGTTTGAGAATGTGTTGATCGTGATAATAATGTTCCATCATCCGTATTATTCATACCGACAAACAGGTACCATTTTTTGCTATTCTTAAGATTGAGATTTCAATTTAGCCCTGAAGTGTTTGATTAACTAAGAATCGTATGTACTGAACCATGATTCAGTCTTTTATTCATGTGAGTATCTTACTCATATGTCTTTTTTGCATAATCTTGATATTTTTACTTCTGCTAGACGTAGATGTTTAGCACCAATTTTAGAATTGAGGCAGGTACATTCTCAGTTTCATTTTGGCTACCGTATTATCATTCTAGAAAGATTACAGCTGGTGGATGGATACTTACTTACCATCCTACTCTAGAAATACCATTCACATTTCTCATTCCAATTTAAATCGGTGAATCCATGCCAGTAATTTGTTCCGTCCTTCCATCCTAAGTTCACGAGGTCTCCTCCAAGACCGTGGACTTTTTATCGAATTAGCTCCTGTTTTTAAGCATTCAAATACGCATCATTTAGTGTGCGCTGTACTTATTTTGATCAATATAATGCATGCGATTCAGTTGAAGCTTGAAGTTTGAGTATCGCTGCACGGTACTTCGGAATTGGGTTTAAATGGACGTTGGTCATGATCTAAAAATTTGAGCTGTAATGTCAAGAGGAGTACCATCAGATACTCACAATTGGACCACATTAAACAGAAAGGAACCAAGCCACATCGGCTATTGCCAAATTTTATCGGGCGGTTTAATTTTTTACATGAAAATGGTTGTGCGGATTTTTGTGCAAATTTCAGTGAATTTTCTCTATATTACAAAGCAAATTCCTTAAAATTTTCAAAGGAATCTGCGCAGACGTTCTCTCTTAAAAAATGAAATCTTCCTGTTAAATTTGGCAGTAGCTGATGTGGCTTTGTTCCTTTCTGTTTAACGCGGTCCAATTTTGAAATAGGTTGTTGGAGCTTCTGGAGAGATAATAGATTCTTTTGGAATTTTTTAGGTTTTTTTATTTGAAGGAGGGCCTACATAAGGTAACTCAAGTCCCCCCCCCTCCCTCTGCCCCATTTTTTCTCGGATTGATGTGAATTTTTAGTATGTTATTCACTGGCATGAGGTACGGCTTTCCTGAAACTTTCAGGACGGAGAAAATTTATTTGCTCCCCTTGCAACGTTGCATAGTTTCAAACTTTGAAAGGAAAATAATTGTGACATTGGACCCCCTCCTTAATCTTCAATTGGGCTGAATTTTTAACATGTTATTCTCCAATATGAGATCCTAATTTCCAGAAATTTTTATGATCAGGACATTTTTTTCCTCTTCTTGCACAGTTGCAAACTTCAAAATTTTGGGTTTGGAGGCAAAGCGTTGGCATGGGCCCACTTCCTAGTGAATTGATCTGAAACCAGTAAGTATGTTGTTTTCCCGTTTAAAGTACGAATTTTCTGAAATTTTTTTTTACTTCCGTTTCGACATTGCCAAGTTTTAAACTTCAAAATTATAGATTTGACCATCGAATGATGATGGCGTTTGGGCGGGTTGATATCTTGCAAAATGTTCTTTACTTATGTGTAATTTTACCAAATATTTTAACTAGGTATTTGTCCATTCGAAACTGTAAGATTGCCTTGTTGCCGTTTTACTAATTTTTTCCGGTTGAATATACCTACCTTCTCTTCCTATAACTGCGAATGCTGGTTTTGTTGCATTCGCTTTAGCAGCGTCCGTTCAAATATAATATGATACGCTATCAGTTTGTGCATATGCACTCGAAAGACTATGTTTAACTTTCGTGGTTTTCTCAGACACGTGTAAAATATAGGTCCATATTCTCTCATCAAAATATTATTTTCTTGTGAATGAAGCGTCCTGGATTCGGGCCATCCAATCCCGCTGCGAACGGAGGACGAGTCCCGGACCTTCAAGACTGATTTTTTTCTCTTTTTTTTCCCTTTTTTTTTAAAGGTGGATTTTAGTTTTTCCATTAGGTATATATTTCTGGGGTTTTTTCTCATGTTGAAGAGTCCTGGACTCGGGCTCTCCAATCCCGATGCGAACGGAAGACGAGTCCCGGACCTTCAAGTCTGATTTTCTTTTTCTTTCTTTTCTTTTTTATAGGTGGATTTTAGTTTTTCCATTAGGTATATATTTCTGGGGGTTTTTCTCATGTTGAAGAGTCCTGGACTCGGGCTCTCCAATCCCGCTGCGAACGGAAGACGAGTCCCGGACCTTCAAGTCTGATTTTATTTTTCTTTTTCTTTCTTTTCTTCTTTAAAGGTGGATTTTAGTTTTTCCATTAGGTATAAATTTCTAGGGTTTCTCTCATGTTGAAGAGTCCTGGACTCGGGCTCTCCAATCCCGCTGCGAACGGAAGACGAGTCCCGGACCTTCAAGTCTGATTTTATTTTTCTTTCTCTTCCTTTTTTTTTTTTTAAAGGTGGATTTTAGTTTCTTCATTAGGTATAAATTTCTAGGGTTTCTCTCATGTTGAAGAGTCCTGGACTCGGGCTCTCCAATCCCGCTGCGAACGGAAGACGAGTCCCGGACCTTCAAGTCTGATTTTATTTTTCTTTCTCTTTCTTTTTTTTTTTTAAAGGTGGATTTTAGTTGTTCCATTAGGTATAAATCTCTGGGGTTTTTCTCATGTTGAGGAGTCCTGGACTCGGGCTTTCCAATCCCGCTGCGAACGGAAGACGAGTCCCGGACCTTCAATTCTGATCTATATTTCTTTTCTGTGAAATATACTGAACACTGCGAAAGCGAATGCAAAAAACCAGCGTTTGCAGTTGCAGCAGGATGAAGTATATGCATCCGGAAGAAAATCAGTAGAACGGCAAAAAGGCAATCTTACAGTTTCAAATGGAAAATTTTTTAAAAAGAATGGGAAAAATTACTCATAAACTCAGAAAATTTTGCGAGATATCCCGCTAAAACGTCATCATTTTATGTTCAAAATCATAATTTTGAAGTTTAAAAATTGGCAACATCGAGGCAGAAGTAAACAAAATTTGCGGGGCATGAAAATTTCAGCAAAATCGCACCTTATACGGGAGAACAACTAACTAAATTCCGATCAATTCAGTAAGAAATGGGCCCATGACATCGTCTTACGTCTAAGTAAAACATTTTGAAGTTTGCAACGTTGCAACGAGAGGAAAAAAAATGTCCTGATCATAACATTTTCAGGAAATTTGTACTTCATATTGGAGAATAGCATGCTAGAAAATCAGCCCAATTGTAGATTAAGGAGGGTGGCCAAGGTCAAATTTTTTTCGCAAAATCTATAATTTTGAAGTCTAAAACTCTTCAACGTTGCGAAGGGAGCAAGAAAATTTTCTCGGTCGTGACGAGTTCAGGAAAGTTGAACCTCATACCGGTAAGTAACATTCTAAAAATTCAGATCAATCCAAGAAGAAATGGACCTAGGGGGGGTTAGTTGCCCTACATGAGCCTTTTTTCCAACAAAAAAAACAAAACAAAAGGAAAATCCATAAAATCGTGATTATTTCTCCAGGAGATTCAGCAGCCTATTTCAAAATTGCGGTTTTTAGTATCTGGTGGTGCTCCTCTTGACATTCTACCTCAAATTTTTCGTTCACGACCAACTTCGATTTAAACCCCATTCAAGAGCACTGTGCATGGATATTCAAACCGTTCAAGCTTCAAATGAATCTTAATTACGCAGGATTTCTTTGTAATACCCCCTCTGTTTTTGTTTTTACGTCATTGAAAAGTATATCAATACTATACTAAAAGTAACCAGGGCAGAATTGAAACCTCAATCGAAAGTTGGCGAACGTTAATTTTTTCGGAATTCTAAGTAATCGTGTCTCCGTCTTTAATAAAAATTTGTTAGTGCGTCTCTGTGATCGGATTGTGAGTGTTTTCAGATTGGAGTCGTGCAATTGGATAACTCTTTAATGGTACGTATTCTGATAGCAATTATTTTTCCCATTATATGAGAGGTGTAGGTAATTCGAATGTGCAGTGGTGTAGCGTGAAGAGTTCCCGGAACTCGACCAGTTCTCCCTAAATTTCGAGCAAAACCAGTGAGAGATTCATAATCTGACAAGCCAACGACCAAGATCGGAGAGGGGGTAGGGAGGGCGATAGGAGGAGAGTCCGGAAAATTGTTCCCTCCGACTTGGAACTCACAAAAGTATTGTGTCTGCATCTCAATTTGTTCGAAAGTTACACTGCTAAGCTACCGTGCTAAGGAAAACCGCCGTATGAACAATCGAGAGTTGCCAAATTGCTCCGCATAAAACATGTAATTTTGAGAGCGATTATGCGTATTTTTCCTTGAAATTTTTAGATATTTTAGATTAAATTCAGAACAGTATTATGTGAAAATGTCGAGGAAAACCATCCGAAATTTTCTCAGTGAATTTAACTTTTATTGAGGGAAATACGGCAACGCCAGAAGGCTCATACGGCGTTTTTTCCTTAGGACGGCAGTAAAGGAACACACCGTGTTAAGGAAAAAAACGTCGCATCAGTATTCAAACGTTGCCACATTCCTTCGATCATTAAGCAGAAAGGAACCAAGCCACACCAGCTATTGCCTAATTTAACTGGGCAATTTAATTAATCCCAAAATATAAACATTTTATAGGAGATTTGGCAACCAAGACAATTTATTGAAAATTTCATCGGACTAGCTTCCTTCACATTTAGAAAAAAGAGTAGGACGTAGGTATTAAAAAAATTCAGTTTCGTAGTATCCCATTCTACCCACGAGGATGCAGTTTCACTGTCGCTGTCATAATCTTGCGTAGAGCGAGAGCCTGTGATAGTGCGATCTATATTGTTCTCTAACAACTGTCGTTATATTTATGTACCGCGATTGTAGGTGATTAAGTGTTATGAAATACATGTATTTTTAATGATTTTACGTACCTGGTGCATAGATCTAAAATTTGCCGCGAAATTGCGGTGATTTTCGCGTAATTTTTTCTCTTTTCTTTAAAAATCGCACGAAAAATCAAGCCATTTGGATGAGATTGAGAGGAAACTATCTCAATTTGTAGAAATTCATCGAAACCGCTGGATACGTCGCGTAGTTTCGCGATATTGAGAGGAAACTTGAGTAATTTCTCACTGTTTCATAACCGAAAGCATGCGAGCAACTATTCGAGCTCCGGAGTAGGAGTGTGGTATCGCGCGAAATTGAAGGCGATTCTCAGCTCATTGCTCATCTCAAGTAACTGATCAGTGTACTATGATGCTCGTATCCACTACAAAATCGCTACTTTACAGGTTTTAGAGCAGAAAATGGTGCGATCATGAATGTCTTGAATGAGAGTTTCTACAACTTTCGCGTCACGATTGTGAGGTAAATTATGCGTTTTTTTTTAAAGAATTTTACGAAACAGTCGCGAAAATTGAGTATTTGCCGGGATATCGCGGTAGGTGAGTAATGGACCACTAGACAAGGTACGAACCTCAGCATTCTGATACATGTTTCTCAACCAAAATTTCACGTAGAACACGATACGCACAACGAAAATTACCCAAATCAACTCCCGACGAAGATATTTAATGATTCTTGATGCGTGAATTCAAACCACCCGCTCATGAAAACTCAATGCTCTACGTCATTCACATCGCGCGCTAAATGTTTATCATGACAGTCTCTGCGATGTAAAAATCTTCAACTTCAATCTTGACACTTTGGCTCAGCTATAGCAGATTACCAATAGTTTGAACAACTTATGGTGGAAAATGAACATTGCTCGATTGAGAAGCTTGCTGAAACCGTTGTAGTGCGCGATTTGACTCACGTAGAGCTTTGAGTTTCTTGTGAGCGGGCAGTTCAAATTCCTCGTACCCAATGTGAAATAAAAACGTTAATATCTTCGCTAGAAGTTGATTTCGGTAATTTTCGTAGTTTGAATCGTGTTCTACGTGAAATTCTGGTTAAGAAACATGTGTCAGATTGCTTAAATTCGTACCTTGTCTAATGGTCCATTTCAGATTTTCCTAGACGAATGCACTGGAAATGTCGCGGAATTTAAACGATGGTGCGATGGAGAGCGAGGAAGTCCTTGGGGCCTATTGAATCCGCATGAAAAATCGCGTATTTTTCGCGATATTGCGATTAAAAATCCATAACTTCACACTTTTTTGGACGCCTTGAACTTCTGAGCAACTATTCGAACTTAGGAGGATGGAGCAGGCATTTGGTATCGCGCAAAATTGAAAGAAATTCTTAGCTCATCATCCATCTCGAGTAACCGATCCGCCTAAAATAAAATGCTCGCGCAGAATTAAAAATCGCCGCTTTCCAGGATTTGGAGCAGAAAATTGTGCGATCTTGAATGTTTTGAATGAGAGTTCCAAAAACTTTCGTGCCGCGATTTACAAAACCGTCACTAAACGTGAGTGTTTGCCGTGATATTGCAATAATGGACCACTAGATAAGGTACGAATTTAAGCAATCTGATACATGCTTCTTCACAAGAATTTCATGTAGAACACGATTCTTGCATGAAAAATTACTGAAATCAACTCCTAACTATGATATTAACATTTTTATTTTACATTGGTCACGAGGAATTTGAACTGCCCGCTCACAAGAAAAACAAAGCTCTTCGTGAGTCAAATCGCGCACTGCAACGGTTTCAGCTAGCTTCTCAATCGAGCAATGTTCATTCCCCACCATGTATTGTTCAAACACAAAAGCAATTTGCAACAGCTGAGCCAAAGCGTCAAGATCGAGGTTGCCGGATTTTTATATCGCAGAGACCGTCATGATAACGTTTAGTGCGCGATGTGAATCACGTAGGGCAGTGAGTTTTCATTAACGGATGGTTTGAATTCACGCATCAAGAATCTATAAATATCTTCGTATGGAGTTGATTTTGGTACGTAATTTTTGTTGTGCGCATAATGTTATATGTAAGTTTTGTTTTGCGCATAATGTTCTAGGTAAATTTTGTGTAAAGAAATATAAATCAGAATGCTAAAATTTTTACCTTGTCAAGTGGTTCATTGTGCGAGACATCAAATTTTTCTTGACCGAAGCAGAGGGAAAGTCGCGCTTCACCAACGATAGCACGATGAAAAGCTCATAGGTTCTGTGGATTTCGGAAATTTACCAGAAAAGTCAAGTATTTTTCACGACAATGCGATGATAAACGCGTAATTTCTCTCTTTTTCGGACGCCTTAAACTTGCGAGCAACTATTCGAACTCCGGTGTAGGCATGTGGTATCACGCAAAATTGAAGGAGATTCTTAGCTCATCGTCTTTCTCAATAAATTGGCAAGCATGCGTATGATGCTCGCATAGGATTAAAATCTCGTGCTTTCCATGATCTGTAGAAGTAATTATTATGTTCCTTACGCACGTTCTGAAAATTTTCGTGACGCTATTGTGCAGTACTAAAAATGTTGGTAATTTATAATAATTTTACAAAACTATCGCTAATAGTGAGTGTTTAGCGCGATATTGCAGTAATTGTGCGTGACATCAAATTTTTCTTGACCGGAGGAGAGGGAAAGTCGCGCTTCACCAACGATAGTACGATGAAGAGCTCATAGGCTCTGCGGATTTCAGAAATTTACCAGAAAAGTCACGTATTTTTCACGACAATGCGATGATAAACGCGTAATTTCTCTCTTTTTCGGACGCCTTAAACTTGCGAGCAACTATTCGAACTCCGGAGTAGGCATGTGGTATCACGCGAAATTGAAGGAGATTCTTAGCTCATCGTCTATCTCAATAAAACTGCACAATAGAGTCACGAAAATTTTCCTAACGTGCGCAAGGAACAGAATAATTAATTCTACAGATCATAGAAAGCACGAATTTTTAATCCTATGCGAGCATCATATTCATGCTGGTCGGTTACTTGAGATAGACGATGAGCTAAGAATCTCCTTCAATTTCGCGTGAAACCACATGCCTACTCCGAATTCGAATAGTTGCTCGCAACCTTAAGGCGTCCGAAAAAGAGAGAAATTACGCGTTTATCATCGCATTGTCGTGAAAAATACTTGACTTTGTTGGTAAATTTCTGAAATCCGAACAGCTTATGAGCTCTTCATCGTACTATCGTTTGAGAAGCGCGACTTTCCCTCTGCTTCAGTCAAGGAAAATTTGATGTCACGCATAATTACTGCAATATCGCGCTAAACACTCACTTTTAGCGATGGTTTTGTAAAATTGTTATAAATTACCAACACTTTTAGTACTGCACAATAGCGTCACTAAAATTTTCAGAACGTGCGTAAGGAACATAATGATTACTTCTACATATCAGGGAAAGCATGAGATTTTAATCTTATGCGAGCATCATACGCATGCTTGCCAATTTATTGAGAAAAACGATGAGTTAAGAATCTCCTTCAGTTTTGCGTGATACCAAATGCCTACACCGGAGTTCGAATAGTTGCTCGCAAGTTTAAGGCGTCCGAAAAAGAGAGAAATTACGCGTTTATCACCGCATTGTCCTGAAAAATACGTGACTTTGTTGGTA